TTATATATAAAATATATTATATATGCATTGTGTGTGTGCGCGCGCGCGCGCGAGCGCACGGGTGCGCGTGTGTGTGTCAAAAACCAATTCTAAGATTTAATGCATTTCTTTATCAATGTACAATACAAAAGGAAAAACAAGGTTTAGTAAAAAAAAAGATTATTACATTTGCAAAATTAATAAGCAAATTAATTTTTTATAAAAGATGTAAAACTATCTTATAATTTACAATACAATACTAGGAAAGAACATCAGAGTTATTTCTGCAAAAAGTCAATATAATTTTCAAACTTCTTTTTCAAATACAAAAATTAAAAAGTGCTAATATTAGTAATAAATTTTATAAATATTTTCGAGAATATCATATTTGATAAATACTAAAACTCATACAATTACCATATGGAATGTAATTTATTTTCAATACAAAATTAAATTCATAATAAGAAAGTAATAAAAATCATGAGAATTGCTATTTTAAAGATAAACAAAATTTATAAACATAAATAAGTTTAATGGAAAGCTTTTGCAAAATACAATGCTACATAATACAATATTTTATCATATTTTGCAAAATGTTCGAAATACATCAAAACTATGGTACAGAAATTAAATATAAATACAAAACATAACTATATAATCTTTCACAATATGTTTTGAAATGTAATATTGTAAATGCTTCAACTTTTACTTCTTTATAATTATAAATTATTTATAATTAATACACAATGTACAAATTCAAGTTATAAACAACAGATTCAGCAATATATTACACAAAAGTTGCTTAGAGTAGTAAGGAACATGTTTCATTGCGGAGAATAAAGTATCCAAATTTATAAAAAAATCAAATGTTTTCGAGTTATAAGAAAAGAAATACAGAAAGGAAGATAACAGAAACATTAATTAATAAGTCAATACTAGAAAACGTTTGTAGAATAAACTTGAAACGCAGAAAGTTTCGAAAAGCTCTCGCGAAACTGAACATGAAAAAAATGAACACGTTGTGCAAGCACAATCTAACCAAAGATTCAACCCGGCTGACAGTTCTTCAATTATTAAAATCTATCTATGAAAAATTAACTGGAAAGTCTCGCAAAAGCCGAATTACCTTCGAAGACGAGTTTACTTCGGTTTTTTGACCGCTTTCCTTAAGAAGATGGCGCGAAAAGGATTGCGTGTAGTTCGTCGTCGAAATTGCCGACTATCGGAGAACGTTTAAGAAATCACGGATATGAACTGACCACGAATAATGTTGTTCTTTATTCTCAGGATTTTTCAATGCACGTTTTACAAACTTGTTCGAGTGATCACAAGCCGATTAGCTAGACTCACCGTGAAAAAAGGAGAACAGACTGGAGATACTCACATGTGATCAAAATGGACACTCTAACCAGAAGAGCTGGCTGCGCTTGCGCGAACCGATAATCGGCGACAGGGGGCCACCCGAATAGATCCACGGATTCCGGCTGGGAGTGTTTGTGGGGGTAGAGTTAGATGTGAAATTTCATGCCAGTTGAAAATTTAGTGCAATGCGCAGGCGTTATTTTACATGGTGAAACTTGGATAAATTAGATACTAGACATTCAAGAAATTATTAAGATTTTAATTGGAAAACAAGAAAAATAAAATTTAATTCTTTACTTATTTACCTACATTGTAACAATGACAAATATTAATTACATTACATTAATATCATACAATAATATTTATTATAAGAAAAATATTGCACTGATGTGTGTATATGGTATATACGTAACATATACACCATATAAGTATCGCGTCACACAAATAGACTTTACATATATCTAGGATGATATGTTTAAATTAATTTCTGCGATTATTTTTTAAATTAATGATAACACAAAAATATTTCGAAGTTGAATCGTTTTAAAAGAAATATAGTTTGATTTACTTTACAATGAAAATATATAGATAACATGAAATTTTCAAAAAATCTTTTCCGAATGTAGTTTCTTGAGTAATTTTTAAATAAAACTTAATTAAAATTCATTAAATTAAAAAAAACAATTTCATACAATTAATTGAAATTCATTTAATAAATTATATTATAATTTTACATCATTGTTCATTCAAATTTAATTTTTAATAATTACGACTTTTTGGTATCGACTATAATTTTAATATCTTCATAATATTTAATACAAATAAAACTTGTTAACGACAGTAATTTATTACAAATTTTGAACTGGCAAGGATATAGACAAGAAAAACAGAGAAATTATACTGAATGAATCCCCTTAATAAAAGCAGTAACTGATGAAATTGGTGTATCTGGTAAAATGCCATGTCCCAAATTCGCAATATATCGCGTTTTACCAAACTTTGTTGCCATATCTTGAGCACGTTTGATTATTTCTTGCTATAAAAAAATATATACTTTAACTAGCAATAAAAATAAATAAAAAACTAAAAATGAATGTATATTAATTATTTTATGTAAAATATAATAATTTTCAATATAATACAAACTTCAGAACCATATAATGCACATGGATCCAAATTTCCTTGCAAAGTAATTTCAAAACCAAATCTCTTTCTTGCTTCTACAGGATCAATAGTCCAATCCAAACCTAATATTTCATAAGTTTTAGATTTTGCCAACATTTCCAAAGAATTCATGGTTGCACCTTTAGGAAAAACAATCTAAAATTTGTATATTGTAAATAACAACATAAAATAAATTACAATAAATATATTACAATATTTATCTTATTTACCATTGGTACTTCAGATATATTTTCTTCTTTCAATCGTTGTCTCACTGTCTCGCTAATTTCTTTCAAATATTTAAATGAATAGTTCACAAATAATTCATCATTAAGAAAATTAGCATGACTTTCAAATATTTGCAATAACTGTAAACATAAGTTAAATGACAACTTAGCAATTGAATTTAGAATAATTTTTTTATTCGTATTTACATTAACTTTTATTTTCTTCTATTTTTAAGATGTATTTACTAATATAAAATTGGGAAATTTTTACTTAAAAAAAAAAAAAAAAAAAAAAAAAAAAAAAAATTTATACCTGTGCTCCAGCTTTCACTTGCATTACAAGATAATCTATTATTACATTTGTAATACGTTGCAAAAGCTTGTGAGAGTCTTCTGGATATTTATATAACCATTCTCGTGCCTTTGTCATTGTAGAACTGCCTCCACCTTGGATCATGTAGCTCATTAATGTCCACTAATAATTTATAAATATAAATACTACCAACAACATTTATTTTACAACTTGCAGAATTTATGTACTGTTTTATAAATCATAATATATCATTTAAAAATTGTTTTACTTACTGCAGCACCACTAAAGCCAATTAATGGTACTTTTCCTTCCAATTTATGTCTTGTTAAAGTTATAGCATCTCCTACATATTTTAGATCCTCTTCCACATTTGGATGAAGTAATCTGACTAAATCTGTTGGATCCTTTAGAGGTTTAGGTAAAACTGGACCCTATATTTTATCATAAAAATATATTTTACTTATATTTCTTTTAACACATTTATATTTTTTCAGTACAAAATTATAAAAAACTTGATTTCATATTAAGATATTAAAATATTAATAATTAAAAAGAACAAACCATTCCTGGAATCATTTCAACAGTTAGACCCATTGCTTGTGGAATAACTAAAATATCAGAAAAGATAATACTAGCATCTAGATCAAATCGTTTTATAGGTTGCAAAGTAATTTCAGATGCTAAAGCTGGTGTTCGACAAACAAAAAAAAAATCATGTTTTGCTCTAACTTCCTGAAATTCTGGAAGGTATCTCCCAGCTTGACGCATTATCCATATGGGTATATGTTCTGTAAATTCTCCTTTTACAGCTTTCAAAATCAAATCATTTTTTAATGATGGAAATTCTTTTTGTGGCATTATCTGAAAAAAATATTAATGTTACAAAAACTGCTAAAAACTTCAAACTTATTTTACAAAATTAATATTATCAAGATTATTATTTATACAAGTGTTAAAATAAAATTTTGGCTAAAAACTTAAAAAAAAAGTTTGATCTTTATTGTTAATACATTTCATAAAATTTTCATAGTATTATTTTTATATTTTTCCAATATGTTTACAAATTGTATGCTAATCTTACCGTACTACAATATAAAAATTAATTTTAAAATAATTTTCTTGAATTTATCCGTAACGTATTAAACCAACGTACAATATAACGTTAAAATCAAGTTTTTCGTTTATTTTAATTTCTTCCTACAAAATATCTTTGTTCTATTTAAGTATATTTTAAAGAGTACAGAAATATTTTAGTATGAATTGCACTTTTACTGTGTAGTACGTTTTAACCAATAATACTGAAAGAAATATGTGATTAATTTACTTATCTATGAGTTTACAGTCTATGATTAATATAACCAATCACGATTATTTAAATTTTAAATTAATAATTTTTATTATATATACATATAATATAATATAATAATATTATATATACATTTTTTTTCTTTAATTTAAAAGTAAAAAATAATAAAGACAAAAAATATATTTCCTTACAATATATAAGTTGTACTATATCGTAATTTATAGAGTGAATCGATTACGTTTTCAAAAAATGTTTTAAAAGGAATAACGTGGTACGTGTTGTGGCGTGCGAGAAGTTTGATCTTGTATATTATTTCAGTTTTTCATTTTAATTTTAAATAAAAGTGACTAATAACATTTGATTTTGTGGTTATGCGTTTAGTTCGCAGATACTAAAAAAGAGAAATATAATAAACAAGTTGATTTTAAACATTTTTAGAGATGGATTTCCTAGAATATACCGATGTAATTGCAGAAGTTAAAGGAGCCATGGTAATTAATATATTATTTAAAGTTTTTAACAAATAATAAGATCATTCCTTAGTTTTTGTTACATACGTTTCTATTTTATAAGTATTTTTATTTATGTAATTTATTTCTTTCATAATATTCAGGTTAGAATTTTACCTAGATGAAACAAGACATATTACATTTCATAATTATTACAATTATTACAAGTTGTATTTCATTTTATAAATATTAAAATTGTTAATAAAAATATTTGTAATAATTTTTCTATTGTTTTCGATAATTACAAATCTCTGATATTTTTTAGACTCCTGGACGTTTGAAACTCACAGATCAACATTTAATTTTTAAAAATCAAAAGACAGGAAAAGTGGAACAAATTTCAGCAACAGATATGGAAATGGTAAATTATCAAAAGTTCATTGGTACTTGGGGTCTTCGAATATTTCTTAAAAATGGAACTTTACATAGATTTCGTGGTTTTAAGGAAGGAGTAAGTAAACACTTTTGACTAAAATAAAATCTTTCTGAATTTAAATTTTTTATATGAAAAATATTTATTTATCATGATTTACTTTTAGGATCAAGAAAAAATTGCAAAATTTTTTACACAAAATTATAAAAAAGACATGTTGGAAAAAGAACTTAGCTTAAAAGGTTGGAATTGGGGTACAGCTAGATTTAATGGTTCTGTATTAAGTTTTGATGTTGGTCATCATACTGCCTTTGAAATTCCACTGTATGATGTATCTCAATGTAATACTGGTAAAAATGAAGTCACATTGGAATTTCATCAGGTATGTTATTGGAGATATAAATTCGTTACCATTAATGAAATTTTAATTCTTAGCCATAAATTCTATATAAAATTTTCAGAATGATGATGCTCCTGTAAGTTTAATGGAAATGAGATTTCATATTCCTGTTAGTGACAGTGCAGATCAAGACCCTGTAGAGGCATTTCACCAACAAGTTATGGAAAAAGCATCTGTTATTAGTGTTAGTGGAGATGCTATTGCTATATTTAGAGAGATTCAATGTCTTACACCTCGGTATATATTTATATTTAATAAACATAGATATTTGAAAATTAATTTTGTAGAAGATATAGAATGTAATTAATAAATATGTAAGGAAAGTATATGATAATATTATTTGCTTTTCAGTGGTCGTTATGATATAAAAATATTTCAATCATTTTTTCAATTACATGGTAAAACTTTTGATTATAAGATTCCCATGTCAACTGTTTTAAGGCTATTCCTTTTACCACATAAAGATAATAGGCAAATGTATTTTGTGGTGAGTTATTCAGATACCATTTTTATGTTTTTCAATTCTTTATTCTGCTATTACTAATATATTTTATTTAGGTTAGTTTAGATCCGCCGATTAAACAAGGTCAAACTCGTTATCACTATTTAGTATTATTATTTAATCAAGAAGAAGAAACTTCAATTGAACTACCTTTTTCTGAGTATGTATTCAAATTCTGTTTATCTTGTTAATAACATTTATTTATATAAAATGAAAATATGAATATATTGTTTGTATATTATTATAGAAAGGAATTGAAAGAAAAATATGAAGATAAATTACCAAAAGAATTATCTGGGCCAACTTATGAAGTTTTAGGAAAAGTAATGAAAGTTATAATTAATAGAAAACTTACCGGACCTGGAAATTTCATTAGGTAAGTTATTTTGTAAAGTGTAGATATATAATGTAATATATAGAAGAATTTAAATTTATTATACATTGATTTCTTAAAAACTTTTAGTCATTCTGGAACACTCGCAATTAGTTGTTCATTTAAAGCAGCAGCAGGTTATTTGTATCCTTTAGAAAGAGGTTTTATTTACGTTCATAAACCACCAATTCATATACGTTTTGAGGAAATTGCATCAGTTAATTTTGCCCGTGGTGGAGGTTCTACTAGGTCATTCGATTTTGAAATCGAATTGACTAGTGGTGTCGTTCATACATTTAGTAGTATTGAAAAAGAAGAATATGGGAAATTGTTTGATTTTATTACTTCAAAAAAATTACGCGTTAAGAATAGAGGCAAGAGTGTAAGTATACATTTTTAATATAATTATAATATTATGTTAAATTTTATTATTAATTTTGTTAAAAAAATTTTATTTTCGTAATAGGATAAATTGAATTATGACAATGACTTTGGAGACAGTGATCAAGAAGATGAACCAGATGCTTATTTAGCAAGAGTTAAAGCTGAAGCACAAGAAAGAGATGCAGAGGAAAATCAAGATTCTGAAGAGGAATCTACTGATGAAGATTTCAATCCTAATCAGGTGTGATTCTATATAAATTTTGGAAAAATATACAAATTTATGTCCTTTTATGTATATTGATATTTTGTGTATATAGAATGAGAGTGACGTAGCAGAGGAATATGATAGTAATCCAAATACTTCAGAAAGTGAAAATGATTCAGATGCTTCTGGAAAAAGTCAAAAGAAAGAGAAGAAAGAAAAGAAGGAAAAAAAATCGAAATCTGCTAAAACCGTGGCAGAGAAGCCTAGAAAACCTAGAAAGCAAAAGAAAGAGAAAGATGCAAATAAACCTAAAAGACCACCAACTGCATTTATGATATGGTTAAATAGTGCTCGAGAAAGAATTAAAGCAGAAAATCCAGGAATTGCAGTTACAGAAATTGCAAAGAAAGGAGGTGAAATGTGGAGAGAACTTAAAGATAAATCTGTAAGATAAAAATTGTTGATTTATTATACATTCCTTCATATAGAAATCAATCTTTGTATACTTTTAATAATTTAATTAGTTGATATGTACTATATATAATTAGTTGATATGTACTATATATAATTAGTTGATATGTACTATAGGAATGGGAACAAAAAGCAGCAAAAGCAAAGAAAGAATATACTGCATCAATGAAAGAATATGAAGCTAGCGGAGGTGGCCAAAAAGAGAAGAAAGATAAGGGAGAAAAGAAGAAAAAAGAAAACAAAAAAGAATCTCCCAATAAAGGGATGTCAGGAACTAATTTCAAAAGTAAAGAATATATTAGCAATGATGAAAGCAGTAGCGATGAGGATAATAAGGTAAAGTAATAAGTAATTAAAAATATAATTTACTAAACACCGGCTGTATTATTATAATTAAGTATTTTTATAGAAATCAGAAAAGAAGCGCACTGATGAAGACACTGACGAAGATAAAGAGAAAAAAAGGGGAGATAAACGTAGTGTGGTAAAGTCATTATATTAATTTTACTTTATTAAAATAAATTTATATTACCATATTCATTCAATTAAATCATCTTCACATTAATTAGTTAGTACATTTTTGTACACATATTCTATTGTATATGATTTTTTGATAGGATGATGATGATAAAAAGGCGAAGAAAGCAAAAAAAGAAGAATCTGACGAAGGTAGCGATGAAGAACCCATTGAAAGTACTCCACCTTCTAGTGAAGCAGAATCTAAAGACAGTGACTAATTACGTTATGTTTAATTACTACTTAATTTAATCTTTATCTGTACTTGTACAAATTATTCCAATTTAAATGAATCTGTGCAAATATGTATAGGACTCTTAATGATATCAAAAAATGTTTCAAACAAAAGTTGAGTGATTTTGGAAAACACATAATTTTATAACTATTTTTTAGGTGTTTATTATTTTCAAATTGAATTATATATTTTTTAATGTATTAATTTCTTACACTGCAAGTTAATTATAAATATATTGTTCACTATAAAAGTATACAAGGTCTTACAACTTGTGTAAATTTTATCTTAACTTATCTAAACTCATTATGTCTTATAAAAAAGAATATTAAAGTTTTTATTAAAATCCTATTTGTTTAGAAGAATTTGCATTATTCCATAATTTTAAATCATATCAAATTATGTCATTTAAAACTGTTTAATACTTATTAGAAATATTTGTTGATATCTTTAATAGTTTCAAAAATATTTAAGAAGATTAATTTAGATGGAATATCTTGTATACATATATATTATTTAATATTTTAGAAAACATTAAAATATGTTCTAAATTTACAATTTTTCAAATGATAGAATAATATTGTATTGAATATTTATATCTATCCATTCTATTTTTTAAACGTATTTAAGGTATATAATTATAATTATAATAAATAATATTGTGATTAATAAACAAATTTTTTTTATTTAAGAATGATAATTTAGTTAATAATAAAATGATAATAGTGTTTTTCAAAGAATTCAAATAATATCCTTGTTTATAGTTGTTTATTAGTTTCTAAAAGTATGATTATAATATAGAAGGGAGGAAAATCTATTATGCTTATTTATGCCGTTTTATTGTTTTGTTTCTCTCGCTCAAAGCGTCACGTGGTTTACGATTGCTTGACTGGGATCAACGGCATATATGATTTTGGACTATATGATCAGAAAAGTAATAGGAATATAGAATAGGCGAGGAGATCGTCGAAGAGCTTGTCACGTGACAGACAAGGACAGAATGGGGATAGAAAAGAATAAAAGGGCTCCGACAGAGAAAAGTTAATGAATTACTCAATTTCCATAATTAATTTATGAACTTTTATAATTTCATTGCAAAGCTGAAACTTCAGGCTACATTCCTATATAATTTTTGTAAAGAATTTAAATCTGAATTGTTAGTTATTAATTTTTGTTTGATGGCGTTTATGATTTCGTAACGACGACCATTACGATCTTCCGTGAAAATATTTAATACTAAACGAAACTAGAAGCAAAATGTGATCAAATGTTGTATGAGAAGATTCGCAAGAGCATTGCCTTTTTAATGAGTGCATAAAGCTTCATAAACTAATTGCGTAGAGGATAGTAATTAATGAAAAACCAATGGCGTCTACGACAACAATTCAAACACTACGCAGAATAATAATTAATATTAAATTAATTAGGGACAAATTTATATCGAAAAATATATTGGAAAGTTCTTGAAAGATCTGCCTTCACGATGCAATTATAAAAGTTCATAAATTAATCGCAGGAATTGAGTAATTAATTAATTTCCTAATAAAAATTCAAAAAGGAACAGTCAGCGCCACCTACAGTTGTGTACTGGAACTAACGGAACAGTTCCAGATAAAAATCAAAATTAATTAATTAATTACTCAATTCCTGCGATTAATTTATGAACTTTTATAGCTGCATCGTAAAGACAGATCCTTCAAGAACTTTCCAATATACTTTTCGATATAGACTTGTCCCTAATTAATTTAATATTAATTATTACTCTGCGCAGTGTTTGAATTGTTGTCGTAGACGCCATTGGTTTTTCATTAATACTGTCCTTTACGCAATTAATTTATGAAACTTTATGCACTCGTTAGAAAGACAATGTCCTTGCGAATCTTCTCATATAACATTTGATCACATTTTGCTTCTAGTTTCGTTTAGTATTAAATATTTTCACGGAAGATCGTAATGGTCGTCGTTACGAAAT